GGCAAACCAGAGCAGCGCACGGAAACACCGTTTACCTTCCCACCGGAGCGGTACCTATTTATCTACTTGCCCTTTGACGTGCTTTTGAACTGCTAGGTTGGCAGGAGAAGGGACCGAGCAACGAGAGCTCACCCCGTCGCGGGGATTCGAACAGCCGACCTTCTGATCGGCAAGTCCTAGGCTCTGTGGTTTAACCAACAGCGCCACCCGCATTCCTCTTTTCCCTATAGTCCTTTGCAAAAGGTGCCCTGTGGTGCCTGTGTCTTGCAGAAGGAACTTCCACCCTTCCTGGTGTTAAGTATAATGGTTTGATTGCACATCGAAATGGAAAATGGCTCTGAATGCACATTGCATTGGAAAATTCTACTGAGCTAACCTAGGAGCTCTCTAAGTGCCACCAGGTTGACAATTAACTGTCGATGCATCTCTGCTGGCTCTGTCACTTGCCTAACTTAGATCTGTTGCAAATCTCCATTGGGCGTGAGTCTTTTGTTCTCAAGCCATCCAAGATAAAGGTGGGTTGATGTGTCTCCTGAAGAGGAAACAGCTCCAGGCTGCAATGGAGGCTGTGGAGAGAGACAGACCTTTGATTTCAGGTCTGTTTGGAGTTATTTCATATTTGTAAGAAGCTGGAGCTGTGACATGGACAAGCACATGGTCGTATGAAACTATTTGCATATATCATGGTTTGTTTTGTCTGTCTGTCCGAAGAAAGTTCTGTTAGTAAAGCTTTGAAACCATATTTTGGTCTGGACAATTTTTATTCCAAGAGGAGTCAGTTTTTATTGATCCTATTGCTTCAAGCTGCACAATATTAATATTTGCAATACCCTGTTGCCAGCAATGGGTTGGCTCCCGTGAACATCAGGTGGAACTCCATGCCTCATGATGGTGTGGGATGAGGTACAAGAGGGCTGCCTTCTGTAAGTGGAAGGGCTATTCCTGCTCGCCCAAGACACCCCTGCATCCAAGACATTGGGTTTTTACCCTCTCCCTCCACATTTATTGGCAACCTTCCACAAAGAAGAGCTCTGTGAAGCTCAAAAGGTGGATAATCATTTTGTGATTCACTACACACACACACACCCCAGCCAAAGCAGATCACATAAAAAATGTGTGAGCGCAGTTTGCATGAATGGTTCTGTGAAAAAGAAATAAAAGCAACAAAAGTAAGTGGGGGAAGGTAATCAGGACGATATCACACCAGAAAGGGTTCGATCCTCCGTACCTACTTGCTGCAATCCTTACAGAAATCTCCAACTCCTGAACCTGCTATTTACTGCCATTTTTATTTTAGTTACAGGTAGGTAGCCGTGTTGGTCTGCGGTAGTTGAAACAAAATAAAATAAATAAAATAATAATAAATAATAATAATAAAATTCCTTCCAGTAGCACCTTAGAGACCAACTAAGTTAGTTATTGGTATGAGCTTTTGTGTGCATGCACACTTCTTCAGATACACTTTTTCAGATACATTTTTATTTTGTGTTTGTGTTCTTTTAAATTTTTGAATAACACCCCCCTCTATATATATAATCAAAACATTTTTTTCATCCAGCTAGTCCACATTGAAGAGAGCCTTGTCACATTTTGACCAGTCGTGTTTTCCTTCTAAACGTTCCCCCAGTTCTTTCAAATGTTTTGGAAACAGGAGTATGGCAAAAGTATAACACAATCCAAAAGTTATTACTGTTGCAACCTTGGTAGAGCCACTGTGATGTAGTAGAGAATCAAAGAACTGTGAAAGACCTCAGAGGTCACCCAGCCTATCCCCCTTGTTGGTGCAAGAAACACATTACTGGTTAACTACTCAGTGTTGGATTCAGACTGGACGTATTTGTGTTAAAATCCCCCTAGAGAGTACTGGGAGATGCTGTGCCAACCCCTATTTCTCAGGCTAACCTGCTTTACAGGGTTGTTGTGAAGTTAAACATAAGTTACCCTGAGCTCTTTGGAGAAAGGATGGGATCAAAATGTAACATAAATAAAGGCTATTGCTCAATTAGATCTGTCACTCTTTTTTTTCCTGACTTCGTTGGGTGAAAATCTATTCAGATAAGAAAAGTTTTAGAAAGCCCAAACAAATAGTTGCATGGTTTCTCTTCTGCAGAGAAAATATAGGAGATTTTGAGTGTTTTCTTTCAAGCAGAAAGGAACAAAATGCCTTTTAAGTAATCAAGCCCCACCGTGAGAATTAAAAATACCTTTTCTATATGTTCCTGTCTCAAAGCAAAGCGATACTAAATACATACAAGGAAGTTCAGGTAGGAACAGCAAATGATTAAAACAATGTCCCCTGGGCTGCAACTCAACCAGAGAGGACATAGATAAAGTAGCAAGGAAAGGAGATGAAATACAAATAGCGATGCTGTGCGGTGTCCAAATGAGAAACATGACTTTAAAAGGGGCTGCATCATTAGCGATTCCATCACAGGACTGTGCAATGGAGTCTCGGTTGTTTACTCCAGTGGTTCTTAAACTAAGGCCCGGGGCAGTGGGAGCTGGTGTCTATGTGGACTGATAGGGCAGAAGGCAGGGAACCCAAACAGTAGGTGAAGCTAGAGCTGACAGGCCATACTCCCCACTGGACTGGTTGTAAGTAAGAGGAGTAGAAAGAGATTGGTGGGACTGTGCCCCATTCACCCAAATGGACCAGTCTTCACTGATGGAGGGACTGCATGTTACCTTCAGTGCACCTCCAGTGTGGTGTAGTGGTTAAGAGTCTCGTAATCTGGGGAACCAAGTTCGCGTCTCCGCTCCTCCACATGCAGCTGCTGGGTGACCTTGGGCTAGTCACACTTCTCTGAAGTCTCTCAGCCTCACTCACGTCACAAAGTGTTTGTTGTGGGGGAGGAAGGGAAAAGGAGATTGTTAGCCGCTTTGAGACTCCTTCGGATAGTGATAAAGCGGGATATCAAATCCAAACACCTCTTCTCTCCCCATCAGCTGGTCCCTAAAGTTGCAAGGAAAGCAGCAGCAGAAATTCCTGAAGAACCTGGTGTCCCTTTAGGTCCAGCCACACTATAATCATATACAGTGGTACCTCGGGTTATATACGCTTCAGGTTACAGACTCTGCTAACCCAGAAATATTACCTCAGGTTAAGAACTTTGCTTCAGGATGAGAACAGAAATCGTGCGGCGGCAGCAGCAGCGGCAGCGGGAGGCCCCATTAGCTAAAGTGGTGCTTCAGGTTAAGAATAGTTTCAGGTTAAGAACGGACCTCCAGAAAAAATTAAGTACTTAACCCGAGGTACCACTATATCACTTTTATGGCTGGTTAGAGTGTTCCCCGGGTTTCTCAGCAACTCTGCATTCCCGAGACAGTCGCTGGCAACGTCCCCTGATGTGGAAAGACTACAGAGAATAGATGGGAGCCTTGTGGTTCATCACATGATCATAAGATCATAGAATTGCACAGTTGCAAGGGTTGGCTAATCCAACCCAATCCAATGATGTTGGACCACAACTCCCATAATCCCCCACCATTGCTCACACCAGCTGGGCATGATGGGAGTTGGTGTCTGAGACCATATGGAGAACCACGGGTTCTCCATCCCTGCTATAAGGGCTGGGACTATGCCTGGGTGACACGCCCAATTCCCAGATTCACATTCCAGCCTTGTGTCTCCAGACTTTAGACTTCTGACCTCCTGGCTCTCGGTCAGCTGCTTAAGCTGCTTGTCCAAAAGAAATCCGGTTTAACTATGCCCTGTATGAAGAAGTACTTCCTTGTCCTCATTCGTCACACATTCAGCTTCACGGAGTGCCCTAGCTTCTTGTACTGTGAAAGGAGGAGAAAAACTTCTCTCGATCAGGAAAAACCAACACCTCTTTTGCTGTGCACAAGACAAGTTTGGAAGGCATGCCTCCCCTCCCCGAAGGAAAAGAAAAGCCGAAGAGGGACATCTAGTGGTGGTTCCAAATCATTTGTATGAACAAAAAGCAGCATTTTAGCCGGCCTGGGTGGGGGTGCCTCACTTCCTTCCACGTCTATGGATAATAAAATACAATAACATGCAATATTTGAACACGGTGATAATGAAAGCTAACAGTGACAAATTAATGAGTCAACTTAACACCACATGTGGAGCGGAGGTGGGGGTAGGGGAGAAGGATTTGTGGCTGCTATTTGGACTCATATTGTGGCTATTTCTGTAGCCGCGCTCAGTAGACAAATGATTTAGAATAGATTAAGCAAAATTTGAGGTACTGTATGAAAACCAGACAGGAGGTCCAACAAACTCAATATTTCCCATTTATTTGTTTAGTATTACCTCCAAGGAGCCCAAGGCAATGTACATAGCGCTCTTTATTTTATCCTGACAACAGCTCTGTGAGGAAGGTTAGAGTGAGAGGCCTGAGCTCACCCAGAGAGCTTCATGGCTAATCAAGATTTGAACCGTCTCTCTCAGGCCCCAGTCTATCTGATAGTGTGTGTGTGTGTGTGTGTGTGTGTGTGTGTTTGTGTGTGTGTGCAGCACTTGCACATTTATTTCTATGCATGTTAATCTTACCAAACATTTATGCACTTTTTTAAAGCTACAAAATTGGAGGCAGCAATGTATTGGCGATGGCACAGGCAGCAGCCAGTAGCTCCCTCCATTGTGCAATGAAAACCTTGCACCGTGCAGACCTTTTGAGAGTTTTCACCGAATTTTCCCCCCTCATTAATTGGTGGGAAATAGTTGGGGGGGGGACAGGACGGGCAGGCAGGAGCAGGAGAAATTATTGACACAACACTAATTAAAATAAGGGGGAATAATAATAACAACAACAACAATTTATTGTTTATACCCCGCCCATCTGGCTGAGTTTCCCCAGCCACCAGTGGCGTAGCGTGGGGGGTGCAGGGGGGGCCGGCCACACCGGGCGCAACATCTGGGGTTAGGGCAAATCCACGGGTTAGGGGGTGCAAATCCACGGGTTAGGGGGCGCAAATCCATGGGTTAGGGGGCGCCTTGCCCCGGGTGCTGACAACCCACGCTACGCCACTGCCAGCCACTCTGGGTGGCTCCCAATCGAGTGTTAAAAATAATGCAGCATAGGTGAAAGGTGGTGTAAAAAAAAAGTTGAAGCCTACTCAATCATTCACTGCAACTGTATCTGTCCAAGGGGAATACATGGCCTGCTGTTTCTGTTTCTTGGCCTCCCCAGGTCTGAGATGATTCCACTGGAGGGTTGTGTAACTTAAGTAAGTTCTCCCTTCTGATCTTGCAATCTGCAGACCAGTTTCCCCGTCCCAGGAAGAGTCTGCAAACAAATGACCCTGTTCTGGAAAGATCCCCTTCTTCCCTACAGACCTCCCCAAGCGTTAAGGTCAACCACCTCCCTCAGAATTACTCTGTTTTAACCATTTTTAATTCCAAATTTTAAATTGTTGCAACCCACCCTGGGACCTACTGGTGAAGGTGGGTTAATAAATTTACCGTGTATATGTTTTTTTCCTTTAAAATAATGCCAAAAATGTGGGGGCATTTTATACACAGAGGCCATCTCCCCCCATTTTCTTAAATTGGAGTCCCCAAAAATAGAGGGCGTCTTATACATGGGGTGTCTTATAGACTGTAAAATACGGTATTTATTCATAATAATTCTGAAGTTCAGTTGGCTTGCCCTTGTATGCTTCGTCAATGAGCAGCTACCTGCACAACTGGAAGAATACGGTGTAACATTTATGTGCAATAATGTCTGGAATAGCTGTTGGACACACATCAAGTCTGGTCAGCAATTGGATTTGCATAATGAAGGGTCTCATAATACCTGCTCTATTTTTATAGGCAAAGAAATTGCTTCAAAAACTTTATGGCTGAAACTCAGGTAGAAGACACTCAGAACATTCTTTTCTCTTAAGGGATATGGTAGGCTAAGAAAATCTGCTCCCTGTGTTTATTTCAGCGCTTGGTTACAAACACCTATTTGCATCAAAGTCTCCTTTACAACAAGGCTTGGCGTTGCTTTGCAATATCTTATTATTAAGGTAAATAATCTTCAAAGAACTCCCTGATTTGAATCTCTTATTCTTTGTGACATCCTATTTGCTGACTGCAGTTACAGAAGCCAAGAGAACGAAAATAGCCCCCCAAATGCAAAGACTTTCCCCCCCTTTTTTTTTGCTGTTGTCTTTATTATTTATGCTTCAAAAAGATACATCCCAAAATAGCATCTGTAGAAAATTACCATACGTACATGCCGTCAATAGAGTTGTTACACATTAACAAATCCTAAAGCTTGTACAAGTCATTCCAATCATTCTGAGGTTGAGACAGTGTGCGAAAGAGAAAGGAGGAGAAAGATTATCTGCGGGCATAAAAAAGGTTGTTCACAGTACCCGGAATCAGCTACCATATACTGTAACAAAACAAAAAAACACCCTATAGAATGCAGCAACCTTGCAGCTTATATTATGTTGACAACATTGCCCAGAATGCTGACTGGTGTTCAAGGAATGATGACTGGAGTCAAACCTCTCAAAATGGGCAGCTGAACAGGCAAATTCTTTTTACCAATTTATAACTACTAGGGCAAGCTTTTGTGATGACCTCAAGGCATAGATCTACACAGATGGAACTTATAAAATGGGTTTGATGTGCATTCATCAGCTTGGGCATAATGCGCTCGACAAACGTGGGCTTGAGCTCTGCTAGATGGTTGTAGCGAAGGAGTGATGTGGAGCATGGGGTGGAGGGCATGTGTTGTATCCATCGGGAACCCTGTTTGCCCACTAAGATCCGCAAGCAAAGAACATAAGAAGAACCTGCTGGATCAGGCCAATGGCCCATTCAGGGCAGCCTCCTGTTCTCATAGAAGCCAACCAAATGCTTGTGGGAAACCTGGAAGCAGGATCTGAACACAAGAGCCTTTCCCCTGTGGTTTCCAGCAACTGGTATCCAGATCCATTGTTGCTACCAAATCTCAAGACCTGTTACTGTGTGTAACAAGTGCCAAATTGTTTCTCCTCTGTTGCTACATCTAATTTTACATATCATGCTTCACATTTGTACATTTGTTGCAGAGGCACTGCATTTAAGGCTCATCCACAGTCCTACTTGACCTGCTGCTTCCCCCCAGGAGAAACTCTCTGTTTACTGCTGAACCAGAGCAAATATCAATTGGTTTGCAGTGGTAAACAGTGGGTTTTCCCGGGGAAAGAAGCAGGGCAAACAAAAAACCTCTCGCAACCATGCCAAGAAAGTATGGGACAAGCAGAAGTGTGGACAACTGAAAACATAAAATGATTTGCAAGTAGGAAAACATAAATATTCTGTCATTATTTTGTAGCAGACCTGAGCAGGGCCTTCATACTATCATGGTGAGCTGTCCTACGATTCATGGAGGACTTACAGTGTGGCCGTTGGCTCCTGGTAGTGCCTATATCTTCCCCTCTTCACCATGCCTGGTGTCCTCTAAATGCTTTGGGCGACAGCTCCCATCACCCTTGACCGTTGGCTACACTTGCTGATGGGAGATGTAGTTCAAAACGTACACTGAATTAATTTCTGGGGAATCTGGAGCTGGAGGAACAAGACCACCACAAAAGTATGCCCATGACTGGGACAACTCAGCTGTGTGAACAAACTTAAATATGGTCTTGCTGGACCAGACCAAGTATCCATCCACCCCCTGTTTCTGTTCCAACATTGGCCAACCAAAGTCATCTAGACATTCAGAAGCAGGACATAACAATGCAAGCTATTCTTACTTTCAGTTCCTAGCTTCTGATATTCCAAAGTAAATGCAGGTTTTTACATTTACATGTGAGCTCACCTACCTTATGACCCCATACACATAAAAATTGGTGAACTAAAGCAATGATTGTACAGCTGACAAGGCAATGGTCTGAACATTGTTAGAGAGGGGTGTGTGGTTCAGTGGTAGAGTACCTGCCTGCATGCAGAAAGTCTTGGGTTCAATCCCTGACATCTCCAACTAGCTAGAAAAGACTCCTGCAAGACCATGGACAGCCACTGCTAGACAATGTACATGGGGGACCACATCGCCTAATATGAACTGACCCAAGCCCTGAGATCATCATCTTTGGCCCTTCTCAGTGTGCCTCCTCCATAAGAGGCCCAGATGGTGGCAAACAAGAAAGGGCCTTTTCTGCAGTGGCTCCCCATTAGTGGAATGCTCTCCCCAGGGAGGCTCGCCTGGTGTCTTCATTACATGGGCACCAGGCGAAAACGTTCCTCTAATATTCTACAGCCTTTTAAATGTGTAGGGTTTCAGGCAAAGATATTTCCCCATTAACTGTTTTCTGCTTTTATCCTTTGTACTGGATATACCAGGGATTGAACATCAGACCTTCTCCATGTAAACCAGGAGAGCAAGGACATTTCCCTGGAAGACTTATGAATCTTCCTCTGTAATGTGCATCTGCAGGAAAGTGTATGGTTTTGTTCTCACATTAACTGAGCAAGGGGGAGGGGGGGATAACCTCCTGTCCTCCAGTAGACTCAAACTCCCATGAGTCCCCACCAGGACAGGACAGTGGTCACGGATGATGGGAATTGTGGTCCAACAATGTCAGGTGGATCACAAGTTCCCCAACCCTGCCCTAGAATATGCCCTGGGATGCTCTGTCATGCATTGGGGAGTTCTGTAGCATGCAGGTTGCGATGGCCGGGGGGGGGGGGCTTGTCCCTAGGCAGAAGGTGTGGAAAAGATGCCCCAAAGGCAAAAATCTGAAAACTACCGTAGAATGGCCATTATGGTGGTAACAAGGGCAGGCTTCTTTTCTATAATAGATTCAGGCCGTTCCACAGAAGCTGGAATATCATTGAAAAGGTCACAAACAAGCCGACCCCAAAACCCAGACCCCTGCAGGGCTGCGGAAGGGGCGCCAGGTAGGCAATGGTGTGGAAGAGTCGAGCCGCAGTAAAAAGTCTGTAGTGAAGCAAGGCTGTGGTTTCAGAAACGCCCGTGAAAGAATAGAAGAATGCAATGAAGAGGTATGGAATGATGTTCTCAAGGTCATTGAGATGGAGTCTGGGGAAAGAAGGAAAGTATGAGTCAGCGTCAAAGGAGCTCTTCTGGCTGTTTGCTACCAATCAAAGCAACTCCGTAGATGATGTGTAGCCAACATAGCACCGTCCAGATGTTTCTGATCCACAACAGTCATCATCCCTGATCACTGGTCAGGCTGCCTTCAGCTGATGGAAGCTGTAGCTCAACAACATCTGGAGGGCAGCATGTTGGGTACCTCAACATAAACCAATCACCAAATGCACCCATTGTGATGGCCTGGGAGTCTGATTCAGAGGCTGAAACAGAAGGCCAGGAGAGGCGGGTCACCTGTGGGCCTGGACCGCCCCTGGCCTCAGAGAAGATAAAGGCTAGTCAGCCTGGTCCCAGGTTGCGGGAGCAAACTGTGCTGGTCCCGGGGGGGGAGGGGAGGTTACCGTCAGGCATGGTCAGAGTCCAGTCCTGGGTCACGGGTCTAGAGACAGTCCACACAGGGCGAAGCGGGGTCCGAAGCAAGAAGCCGGGCGGGGGCGGGAACTCCGAAAGAACAGGACTGGGTGCTGGCAGAAGCAGGTTTCCAGCAACGTTGCTCCCACAACCTGGGACCGGGCTGACTGGCCTTTATCTTCTCTGAGGCCAGGGGTGGTCCCGGCCCACAGGTGACCCGCCTCTCCTGGCCTTAAGGCGAGCACTCCTCCTGGGAGAACCCAGTTCCCTCCGCCTCTCTGCCCTGAGCCTCTGCAGCTCAGGAGAGGCTCACCTATAGGCAATGGGTCCTCAATCACCTCCGGAGCCAGAGTGGATCCATCTGGTGTCTGCTCCTGAGGACCCGGCACAGGTGCAGGCGCTTCCGATTCAAGGCCCTGCCCCAGCTCAGCCGGCCCTGGACGCGGGGACTCCTGTGCAGGCTGGGATTCCTCTGGTTCAGCCTCTGAATCAGACTCCCAGGCCATCACACCCATTTTTGGAGTGCAAGGATTTGCAGTAGAACTTTGCCGCTCCCCTTTCTGCATCTTCCCAAAATCTGCTTTGGGAAAGCCCCAGAATAGATTTAAGGGGTACACAGGGAGAGGTTCTGTGGAGCAAGTGTAAATCCCTGCACTGATGGATACAGAATACCCACAACGGATACAATGCACGCTACATCTTCAACGTATGTAAATTGTTACTTCATGCAACTTTTTCCTTCTTCTGAAGAGCAGGATAGAAAGCTTTCAAGTAAAACCAATAAAATAATCTAGTTTTCGTAAAAGTCCCCTCAGCTACCTTCGCACGCGCTCCACATCCGGATCAGTCCTGAGAGCCTTTTTTCCAGCCTCTCCTTTACCCAATGCAGCCGCATCTTCAGGGTTGGCGAATGCCTATTCGAGGGCATGAGGAATAAATGCATTATTGCTGTTGTTAGGTCCCGCAACATTTAAAACAACTTACAACTACAAAAATAGGGTGATCTCTGAACTGTGCCCCCCTGCTCCAAAAAGAGGGGTTTGAGAAGCACCCCCTGGCCAGCCCCAAAGGCACCATTTGCCTGAAGAGCTTGTACCCAGGGCTGCTGCAACAAATAGCTGTGCAAGCCTTTGGGAGGCAGAGACGCAAGGGGGCATCATAAGAGGGAAGGAAGGAAAAAGGGACAGAGGTCAGTTTTGCCCGCGGCCCTCCTGACCATCATTCATGGCACCCCAGGATTGAAAAACCACTGCTTTAAATGTATGGTGTGAATCAACCATAAATAACGATTTTGAGAGCTCTGTGTGCAGAATATCAGCCGGTTTCCAAGAAACAGTTCTGGATCCTGTCCCTCTGCAGAGAGCAACAGACCATCTTCCTCTCCGATCACATTAGTGGGTTTCCGCCTTTTGAAAAACACCATTGGGCTTTCCATTTCCAAACACATATATTTTCTCACCTGTTTCTTCACTCTTAAGTATCCTGTTAGAGGGCTCAACAGCATCATTTTTATGATGACAATGACCGCATGAAAAGTGTAGGCCCTCAGCACGTCCATGTCTACTATTTCATTAAGTTTAGTCATTTTGGCCCGTATCCTCTGGAGACCTGGGATGGAAATTGAGAGCGAGAATGTTATTTAACATTACATTCATGATGTGACATCAGCATTCCCGACATGTGAAACGAAGCGCGAGGGTACAAGTATGGGGTGGGTGTCAGCAGGGTAGGGCTTGCAGGCAAAATCTAGGGCCTCACTCAGCAGAATAGGAACAAGCAGGAAGCCATCGCATCATTGGTCCAGCTAGCTCAATACTCTCCACACTGGCAGCAAATCTCCAGGGCGTCAGGCAGGAGTCCTTTTCCAGCCCTACCTAGAGACAGATGGTACCTGGGACATTCTACATGCAGAGGAGATACTCTACCACTGAGCTATAGCTCTTCTACTTTTACGGAATAAGGAGAATATCCAAACTAAGCAGGACTGCAGTTTGCAGTAAGTGAAGTCATTTTATCTTGTTAAAATAATTTATATACCACAATTTATCAGGCGATCGGCACTGAATGCTCTGTCTCATGAGACCAGGGCCCTGCAGGATCTGAGTAAGGGCCTGTAAGACAGAGTTGTTCCGCCTGGCCTTTGGCTTGGAATCAACTTGATCCCCTCCCCCTCTTTCCTTTTTCTTTTCTCCTTCTGTGATGGAACTCCTATTTGGGGACTTCCCTGGCTTTTTTCTGGCCCACGTAGAAGCAGTCTGGATAGTTGGCCTTGGTGAAGATTTGACGTTTTCATCCCCAAAAAAGTTTTTGATTTGAGTTTCTACTGAAATGAGGCTGCATTTTAATGTTGTATTTTAATCTTGTTTTTAAGTTGTATTTTAATCAATTGTTTTATTCCTGGTGTTAGCCGCCCTGAGCCTGGTCTTGGCTGGGGAGGGCAGGGTATAAATAAAAAATATTATTATTATTACTATTATTATTATTATTATTGTGTTTTTGTCACACGGGAGTGGACTGTGACACCGATCACTCCCTGGTGGTGAGCAAGATACATCTCTAGGCAAAGAGGGTCCATAGCCCAAAGCAGAAAGTGTGGTCTCCAATCAGCTACAGCTGGGTGATAACTGGTTTTCAGCATCGTGATAAATCAGCAGCTAAATACCACAATATGCTGATGTAGCACAGTGTCTGGAATGTATCTCAGTTGCTGCTGCTTCCTTGCCTTAGGGGAGGAAGAAGCAGCCCAGATACATTGCTCAGCGCTACAGTGAGCAAGCCCCGATACCTCTCCAGCTGTCATGCAAGCCGGAAGGGGCACTGAGGCTTAGTAGAACTGCTCAGCTGGGGGGTGGGAAGCCTCCAGGCCCTCACCTGAGCGAGCCCCGTACTGCTCCAGTTCAAGCAAGCTGGAGGAGCAGGGAGCTTCCTCAAAGGCACAGGCAGGCAGGCAGACGGGGCCCAAGAAAGTGCTTGCCCAGAACCTTATTAGGTTCTGTCTACCTGCCTGCCTGCGCCGTTGCTGTCTGAAGGCAATTCGAGCTGGCGCAATGTATTGCCAGCTCAAATAGTCTGAAACTGGTATTACAATCTGAACACCAGACAATTTATCAATATATTGCCCAGCTCTAAAATCACACTGCCAGAAGAGTCATAGAATTGTAGTGTTGGAAGGGACCCTGCGTTCATCTTGTCCAACCCTCTGCAATGCAGGAATATGCAGCTGCCCCATATTGGGGATCGAACCTGCAACCTTAGCATCATCAGCACCACACTCTAACCAAGAGTCATACCTCAACCGTGTGAATACTTCTCTCATTCCATTGAACAAGCTCTACTGAACTGCCCCAGAGTTAGTGTCAAAGCAAGGTGGAACCACACCAAAGAGACAACCTACAACACAGCTATTGTTAGGATTTTTATCTATCCGAGCTGCTCCGGCGAGTGGTACTATTGTACTATGTTTTGTATACATCATGTGAGTGTATGAGAGAACGTGAGACAGGAAGTCTGAGTACTTTTGGAAGTTAGTTTCACTGCTGTATGTGACACAGTTCTGTACCGGTGTCCAAAGAGCACAGACGTACTGATGGAGTCTCTGTATTATAAGACTGTAAATAAAGTAGTTTATTTATTAAAAGACGCCTGCTTCTTGGGAGAAAAGCAATGACAAACCTAGACAGCATCTTAAAAAGTAGAGACATCACCTTGCCAACAAAGGTCCATATAGTAAAAGCTAGGTTTTCCCAGTTGTGATGTATGGAAGTGAGAGCCGGACCATAAAGAAGGCTGATCGCCGAAGAATTGATGCTTTTGAATTATGGTGCTGGAGGACACTCTTGAGAGTCCCATGGACTGCAAGAAGATCAAACCTCTCCATTCTGAAGGAAATCAGCCCTGAGTGCTCACTGGAAGGACAGATCCTGAAGCTGAGGCTCCAATACTTCATGAGTCACCTCATGAGAAGAGAAGACTCCCTGGAAAAGACCCTGATGTTGGGAAAGATGGAGAGCACAAGGAGAAGGGGACAACAGAGGACGAGATGGTTGGATAGTGTTCTCGAAGCTACCAGCATGAGTTTGACCAAACTGCGGGAGGCAGTGGAAGACAGACGTGCCTGGCGTGCTCTGGTCCATGGGGTCACGAAGAGTCGGACACGACTAAACGACTAAACAACAACAACAAATAAAGTAGTTTAGAACTACTGATTGAGTCTTTCTTCTGCTATGATAAGCCAGAAGACTAGCGTGCTCTTCTCAGGAGAGAGGGGTCGCTTATTACCGGTCTCCCTGGACTGAGGGAGATTTACGGCCAGAGAGGACCACCGGAGAGACGCCTCGAATACCTGGGAAGTTGGCAGCCTTCCCAGGCGTGTTTCGAACAGCTATGTCCTCCTTCAGCAGCAGATCCTTGACTGGTTTGAGGCCAGCATAAAGGACACAGAGCCTGCTATTGTCGCACAGTGTAAGGCTCTTGTGAGCGAAAAGATACTTGCTACACTGAGAAAGGCGAAGAGCGATGCCCGGTGGATTGCCAGACGATGTGCCAATGACTACTGCCTAAAGCTGTGTCTATTGCATCCAACTCGTTGCCGACAGTGGCAATACTCTCAGAATGGTTGCAAAAGCCTTTGGATAAATAGGTACCGCTCCAGCGGGAAGGTAAACAGCCTTTCCATGCGCTGCTCTGGTTTCAGTGTTCCATTGCGCCAGAAGCAGCTTAGTCATGCTGCCCACATGACCCAGAAAAACTGCCTGCGGACAAATGCCAGCTCCCTTGGTCCGTAAAGCGAGATGAGCACCGCAACCCCAGAGTCGTTTGCGACTGGACTTAACTGTCAGGGGTCCTTTACCTTTACCTTAAAAGCAGTGCAGCAGTGACTCTCATAAAGGGACCCTGCATTTCTGGATTTGCCACTGCGCTACTGCTTGAAGGACTTTGTTCAGTCCCTGGCTGGGTCTGATGTTTCCCCATCCCTGAAATAAACATTCCAATACACAATATACTCTCACGTTTAGACTTCCCTGCTCCTCCTCCTCTCCCCTTTCTGTAAGGTGGGAAATGGATGTTTGGAAGGGAGGGAAGAGTGCAGGCAGGAATAAACTGCCTGGAGCTCTAGTAATCAAAACCCAGCTTAGATTGATCCTTGAGGGAGAACTTAAAACAACAGGTTTTACCACATTGCAAAGGCAAAGCAGAAGAAAAATGAACTTTGAGGTGAACAACTGAGCCACTGGCATGGGCGTGGGGAGTAACCTTTGTGTTGCAGGTTTTTGGCAGGAATGCTTTGGAGAGATCACACCTCCTGGGATAATGTTGCACCAGCAACAAGGTGAGAGGTCAAAGTCTGTGCCCAAGATTGCAATGACTATGCTATATGCTAGTGTGCATTGCAAAACAGTGAGAAACCAGGGCAGTTTGCCACTGCATCCCCACATGCTGTATTTGCCTGCATAGGAATGTGCCTCTGTGCAGTTACTTGCATAGCACATCCTTGCAAATGCACCTGTTCATTCACTAATGGCCACAGTGGCCGAGGCAGCCTTTCAGACTAGCAAAAAACTTTTTTATCTGCCAGATTCTCCAAGCAACTGCAGGGGAGTTGCACTGGCAGCAGTTCCAGAAGAAGTGAGGCACGGGGGAGGATAGGCCAAATAATTTGCATTTAGTTGGGCTTGATTGAAGTGTGCTTATAAAAATAAGTGCAATTCACTCAATCCTACTCGCATCGAAAAGTGGAGAGATTTCTCCTTCTCCCCCCTCCCCCCTCCTGCAAATATATCTGAAATAGACACAAAAAAGATTAACTGCATTTGCTGTTCAAAGCAATTCGTTTTGAAAGAAAGTAATGAGTCCTTAAGCACTTCATAAGTCAATCATTTGCTACTAGGCAGAGATGTGGATTATTATATTTTAATAACCAATGGCAGGCATCTTGAATATATCCACATTTTTTAAAAAAACAACAACACCCACTACCTGGTCTACGGACATTTCAAGCGGGAGAACCTGTCTTATCAGCGCCAAGAGGGGAAGTTTAGTAAAGGAACTTGAAGAACCAGAAACATTTGGCAGTTGATAAAATTAGCCCCTCTGTTTCCAATGTACATATGTGTCAGGGGTGCCTCCGGTCCCAGCTCACAAAGGTCCAACGCCAGTGTCTCTTTATATACAAAAGTCTTTATTAAAGTTCATTGTTGGTTTTACATCCGTGGCGCGCATCCCTACGTCTGAAACCTTAGACCGTTGAAGCTCCGTCTGACTCTTCCCCTCCCCTACACCAGTTTAACACCTGAGCTTTGCTCCACCTCTTCCTCTGCTCTTTTCTCCTCTGGGTCCTCCTGCCCCCTGGGGTTCCACCCCTCCTGGACTCTTCGGAGGCGGATTCCTCTGACTCCTCCCCCTGTCTCCGGCGGGCTTTGGGACCTGGCTCCCAATCCGGATTTTCTGCTGACCCGCGCGCCTGCAGATTTGAACTTGGCGCGCGCGCCCAGCCAGCCACTTTCCTCCTAACGGCTACACTGCTCCTGTCACTGCTTCCTCCTTCGGAGGGGCTGGCTGGAAATGACCTCTGCTCCGCCCCTCCACTCTCCGACGGAGGCGTGGTCAGCTCTGGTTCTCTCTCTCTCCCTGCTAGAGTGGACGCCGGTTCTGATCTGTGGGTTTCTTCCCCCCCCGCTACGCTCTGGCAGGGAAGCTGGCCCTGATCTCCAGCTGCCGCTTGGGGACTCACCGCTGGCCCCCCTTGCCCTGACCCTGGGCGCCTCTTTCTGAGAATCTTCTGATTCGCTGGAGAGACTCATGGAATCTCTCGAGTCACTGTCATATCCTCCTAAGCTCCCCTCAGATTCCTCCCCTTCGCTCTCCAACGCCTCTTTCCCCCGTGGCTCTGCCCCTGAGCCCCTGACAATATGTGAGTGTCATCACTTAGGTTGCTAGGGATGGCTGGGGCCCATAGAGGCTGGTAGGGTGAAAGGCAGGGAGGCTGACAGTAGGGGGAGCCAGAGCCACTGACAGGCAGAGCCAACTGATTCTAGAACTCTATGCCAAGTTCTATAGGCATTAAGGAACAGGAATCCAACAGCCCCTGGGCTGGCTGTAAGTAAGAAGGCAGGCAGGTAGGAGCAGGAGAGGCTGTGGTCCACTTGCCCTGATAGATCAGCTTCTACTCTTTGTACCCAACATGGCACCAGGCAAGCAGACTAGGGACATGTCCGCAGCCTTGGGGGAAACCAAGGTTTACAAAACATGTGATGGAAGGAGGCAACCCTAACATGGAATGGAAGGTAAAAACAGCCCCAGGAAGGAACATGCGCAGTGACTACAGGATGCTGAGATTTTTGGTAGGGGTGAGGAGAATGAAAAGCAGGGCGAGAGCACGGTACAATATCCTGGAGGAGTGTATGTCGGTCTTCCTGGAACAGTGAGGCGTACACCACGCTGCAACATTATGTTGCAGTTCCCCCTTGCAGATAGAAAATCAGAGCAAAAAATAAATAAATGCCTGCAGATGCTGAAGAAATTACCTGTTTGAATTTTTGCTTTCTAGAACCCCACAGAGAAACACAGAGGAGCAGTAGCGAGATTTGAACAAGAGGCTAATTTTCATTGGTGGAGAACCTGTGTCAGTGAGGCAAAGGGAGGTTCACATGACTAAAGGCTCCTTCACCCAAGGAGGTACAGGTGAGGAGAATGAAAAGCAGGGCGAGAGCAGGGTACAATATCCTGGAGGAGTGCGTGTCTATCTTCCTGGAACAGTGAGGAGGTGTACACCACACTGCAACATTATGTTGCAGTTCCCCCTTGCAGATAGAAAATCAGACCAAAAAAATAAATAAATGCCTGCAGATGCTGAAGAAATTACCTGCTTGAATCTTTGCTTTCTAGAACCCCACAGAGAAACACAGAGGAGCAGCGGCTCCTCTTGTTCAAGAAGGCTAATTTTCATTGGTGGAAAACCTGTGTCAGTGAGGCAAGGGGAAGTTCACATGACTAAAGGCTCCTCCACCCAAGAATTAAAAACTCGCCTGCACTAGCAAGCCACATTTTCCCTGCTGATTTTCTATGTGCAGGGATTATATATATATATATATATATATATATATATATATATATATATATAAATAATCTGTATCACGGAGCATTCAGTCGTGTGACTTGCAGTCTGGCATGTTCCCTCTCACATGGTGGTTTGCCTTCTCAGTAAAACCAGGGCCTGTGTTCCTCTAGCTTCAGGTAAATCCCATACTTAAAATAATAAATCTATAATAATAATAACACTCTTCAAAAACTGGGAAGTTAAGATGGGTAACTGCATTAACTAAATCAATTAGGAAAGCCCAGAAATAAATTGTGCAACTGGAGACCTAGAAATGTTTTAGTGGCACCACTAGCACCTATTCGCATGCTCTCTCGCTCACCAACCTCTCCCCTGCTTCTTGGTCTAGCAAACCATAAGGTGATATTTTCCTCGAGAGAGTGAGCATGCTAAATTTGGCAATGTAGAAAATGTAGGAGGTGAGGCCAATGAGATGATTTTAGATTTCATTCCAAGATCCCAAAAGGGCCTGAACATTTTCAGTATGTATTGCACCTGCCCTGTGAAATGCTACAGACATCAACACAGGAGAAGGCCACAGTGAGTTCTGTGGGCCTTACTCCCAGGCAAGCGTTTGTCTGTCTCTCTACCCGTCTATTTATCTGGTTGCAACTTCAGTCTCCCCACCTCCAACTTCCCACACTGGTCTGTGAACCAGAAAGCCTTTGTCAGAAGTTGCACAAGCAAAACACAGAAAGCGAAAGCCCAGCTGTGCTCTTTCGTTTTTGTTGTTCCTGCAAAAAGCTTTTGCTGCAAGGGAAAACGCTCTGCAAAGCGTTAAAGCCAACGCACCTTTGTCTTTTTCCGGATCCACACAACACCACCGTTTTGAGGAAGCAAGACTCTCCTGCTGCTGTTTTAATCTCTCTCCAACAGACACAGCTCCCTGCCTTTTCTGCCCACTTCACTCTCCTCCCTCAACCTTCCCCTAATGGAGTCTCCCAGCTTTTCTTGCTCTGCAGCTTGCCTCACACACCCTCCAGCTCCAACGAGCTCCTTCTCTGGCCCTCCCACTTGGCTGTTCTACAGCTTTTTGTAACTCACACGCACAGTCCCTTGCAATGTGCTCATTAGCCTTTGCTCTGCTTTTCCCTGCCTCCTTGCTGCCCAAGGCCTCTTGCTTCAATTGCACTCCCCCCACCACCACAATCCTTGAACCAAAATGTGGTGAAACTAAGCAGAATGCAGAAATGCTCGTCGGGTGCCTTTGAATGTGTGCAGAGGGCCTGCGTACACACCATACATTTAAAGCACATGGTAAAGAATCCTAGGATGTGGAGTTTGTCAAGGGTCCTTGGAAGAGTACCTCCGCACAGGGTAAACTACAGTTCCCAGGATTCTTTCGGAGAAGCCGTGTGCTTTGTGCGTCACATTCCTGCTTAAACGGGGCATCTTAGAGGAAAGAGGAAAATAACACAGGCAGCAATCATTTTAGGCACATGCAATTGATGGGCAGAAAATTTGAAGTCTCTTCTCTTCTAGGCAGGGAAATGAAGATCTCCCAGGTGAGATGTTGGGGAAAGAAAGGAGAGCTCTCCCAGGTGAGAGCTGGGCGGATCCATCACTTTCTGTGCATGACAAGTGTTGTTGTTGTTGCTGTTTAGTCGTTTAGCCGTGTCCGACTCTTCGTGACCCCATGGACCAGAGCACGCCAGACACTCCTGTCTTCCACTGCCTCCCGCAGTTTGGTCAAACTCATGCTGGTAGCTTCGAGAGCACTGTCCAACCATCTCATCCTCTGTTGTCCCCTTCTCCTTGTGCCCTCCATCTTTCCCAACATCAGGGTCTTTTCCAGGGAGTCTTCTCTTCTCATGAGGTGGCCAAAGTATTGGAGCCTCAACTTCACGATCTGTCCTTTCAGTGAGCACTCAGGTCTGATTTCCTTAAGAATGGATGCGTTTGATCTTCTTGCAGTCCATGGGACTCTCAAGAGTCTCCTCCAGCACCATAATTCAAAAGCATCAATTCTTCGGCGATCATCCTTCTTTATGGTCCAGCTCTCACTTCCATACATCACTACTGGGAAAATCATGGCTTTAACTATATGGACCTTTGTTGGCAAGGTGATGTCTCTGCTTTTTAAGATGCTGTCTAGGTTTGTCTTTGCTTTTCTCCCAAGAAGCAGGCGTCTTTTAATTTCATGACTGTTGTCACCATCTGCAGTGATCATGGGGCCCAAGAAAGTAAAATCTCTCACTGCCTCCATTTCTTCCCCTTTGCAGGAAGTACCTTTGAGAGAGGACTCTGTGTTTCTTTTCTCTTTATCCATTTTTGTTTTTATTTAGATTAGTTTCTTATTGTATGTTAAAAAAGCTTTAATAGAAAGTTACAGCGGGGAGAGAGAGAAAAACAGCCATTGTGTTTCTTTGGGCATTTGGTTTGTCTGGCTGTTTTGTAGTGGAGGACGAATGTTTGGCTAGTAAATTTCCTGCCTAGCCGAAGGGGGCAACCCTACACAGGGCTAACTCACACCAATAGGGTGGGTTAAACACGGTGGTATATCATGGCAAGAGTCTTGCTAGCACAAGGATGGAAGAATGAAGAAATCTCAACAAAAGAACAGTGGCAAGAAAAATTGATGAGCTATGCAGAACTGGCTAAATTGACATACAAACTGCGGGACAAGGACAACTGTGACTTTAAGAAAGAATGGGAACTTTTTACTAATTATCTAAAAAGACAACAAAATGAACTGGACTCCTTGGCAGGTTTTGAATAAACAGACACAAATTTATTGGTTGATAACATGATAGAGACAACACAAGGATATGTTTAATTTTATAACATGCAGAGAATAATATGTGCAGAGAAATCAGAGAGAGGAGCTGAGGGAAGTCCCTTTTGGGGGTGGAGGGGGTGGAAGGGGGGTGGGAAAAAAGGCTGGAAATAATGTATGTGATTATATGATTTGATAATTTGTTATGTTGAAATTGCTTAATAAAAATATTTATATATAAAAAAACAGGATGGTATATCACATTTTGTTTATTTATTTTTTGCATTTATTTTCTTTCAACAAGCTCAAAGTGCTCTACATAGTTCTCCCCCTGCTCATTTAATTCCCACAACAACCCTTTGAGATTTGAACCCTGCTCTCTCACGTCTAACACTCTAACCGCCACACCACGCTGGCAGCGTGTCACACAAATGTGACACAAAAAAATGTTCTCGCAATGTCTGTTTCTGCATCAAATGCCAGATTCTGTACTGTCTGAGCTCAGACATGAAATTTACATTCAAATGCCCAGACTTTTCCAAAGGGCGGTTGAAGAATTTCCACCTTACGCTTCCTTTAAGAAGTTAAGCAGCGACGCACGCTGCTTAGCCAGTGGTTAGAAACTCTTCTGGCATTAATGAAAATTAAGACAAGCAATTGGGGGACGATAGTTGCCCTCGAGGGGCTCGTTCTTGAAGCCTCGACTGCAGTGAATAGGCCTCCTGGCTTTAATGGGGAATCCAGAATGCAGCCTCAGCACCACCCAGCACCATCCAGTTAAGTGAAGGAGATCTCCAAGGATTACAGACCCCAAGCTCTACTCATGAAGAGTCTCCATGGTCCTTAGGTAGGACTGCGGACAAACACGTAAAGTTAGGTCTGTGCTTTTCAAACGACTGTTTAGTGATGTATGTGAACAAACTGGGATATTAGTGGTAGTATAATATTATGAAAGAATTTTATGTAACCAATATAAACAGGTGCCAAAATGTCTTGGACCAGCTCTGGAAACATGTTTTGACCCTCAAGCTTTCCTCAGTGGTTTGTTTTACACACACACACACACACACAGAGAGAGAGAGAGAGAGAGAGAGAGAGAGAGAGAGATTTTGACACAAATATAAAATATGGATTTACAGTACAACCTACAATTTAAAACCGTGTGTGTGTGAGAGAGAGAAAGACACACACACGAGAGAGAGAGAGAGAGAGAGAGAGAGAATAAAGCAACTACACCAAATAATAATAGTACTTATCTGGCTTCAGAGTGCTATATATGCATATTTTTCAGCCACAACAGGCACTCAAAAGCTACAGACTGCCCTCTCAGTCGTAACATCCATCCATTTATGAGTCAGCATGGATTCCAGGAAAGTGCAGCGCATTCTGATGATTCATTAGTCCTGCTAATTTTGGGTGCAGGCTGCACAAGTTCTCCATCTGTGTTCTAAAACGGGAATAATAGAGCTTCTGGAATGCAGAACATGGCTTTCTTGATAGCATAAGAGCCTGGTGGATCTAGGGCAGCTTGCTGTTCTCACAGTGGCCTGCCAGAAATCACAAGCAGGATTAGAGTACAAGCACTGGTGGACCTTGGGGTCTCAAATTTCAGGGGCACCCTGTGCTATGCCAATATTTGGTGCCACCCCCACCCCCCTCTGCCTCTGACCTTCTATTCTACATTATAGTTGCAGCAGCACCTGTGGTTGCACTCTCCTAAATCAATCTCTAGCACAAGAGCCCTCTCCCCTCTTGAACTGACATTCAGAAGAATTGCTGCCTCATCTGTGGAGATCAGTTAGAGGCAGCAATGCTCAGATCAGTATGGCATTTGCAGACTCTTCAAATGTCCCTATTTTCTGGGTTTACAGAAGCTCCACCCCCATTGTTCAGCCCAGACACTGAGGTCCAGCGCCGAGGGCCTTCTGGTGGTTCCCTCCCTGCAAGAAGTGAGGTTACAGGGAACCAGGCAGAGGGCCTTTTTGGTAGTGGCTCCCGCCCTGTGGAACACCCTCCCATCAGATGTCAAAGAGAAAAATAACTACCAAACTTTTAGAAGACATCTGAAGGCAGTCCTGTTTAGGGAAGTTTGTTTGCTTGTGTGTGTTTTTGGTTAAGGGAAGTTTTAATGTTTGATGGTTTATTGTGCTTTTAATTCTGTTGGGAGCCACCTAGAGTGGCTGGGGAAACCCAGCCAGATGGGTGAGGTATAACTAATAAATTAGTAGTAGTAGTAGTAGTAGTAGTAGTAATCCCGGAATGCCCCACTTTTCCTTAGGATGTCCCTATTTTCATCTGAGAAATGTTGGAGAGTACGGGGTTGTGCAACCCAAGTCAAGGAAATATGTAACTATACAAGCTTTAGAAGACATCTGAAGGCAGCCCTGTACAGGTAAATTCTTTAATGATTTATTATGTCTTTATATATGTTGGAAACCAGTCAGTTGGCATTCCAGTTAGATGGGTGGGGCATTATTATTATTATTATTATTATTATTATTATTATTATCATCCCTACTTTCATTAGAGAAATGTTGAAAGGTATGCATTTGAGGTGGATGGCATCTCTATGCCAGATTCCAGTGTACTTGCTCCTAACTGTATATAAGTCACAGGACTGAGGGGGGGCGGCAATTTGCAGCAGCCTCAGGCCTATCAGTGGTCTTAGGGTATGTCCGCAAATTCCCAGTTCCTAAGGAGGTATGGATTAGCCAGGCCCAGTGATGCTGCAGGCAATGTCCTTGAGGGCTAAAGGCCAAGTTAACAGGAGATCTCAGCTTGCCAATGAAGGCAGGGTTGCAGGTGCAGAACAGAGTCAACAAAACAAGGTCTAGCGCAGATAGTCAGTTCAGGCCCAAATGTGGCCCAGAGACCAAGTCAGGCAACAGACCAAGATTGATATCAGGGAGCGTCCAGGCAAGGTACACACAGCAGAGCAAGGAACTTTGGACGCCTGCAATTTTCAACAACTGGTATTCAGAGAGATAAATGCCTCTGATAGTGGAGAAAGAACATAACCATCATGGCTAGCAGCCACTGGTAAAGTTTTTCCTCCATGAAAAACTGCTTTGAGGCTTTTTTCTCTTTTGTTTCTTTACAATCAAGCAGTATGTTATGCTAGGACACGGGTGGCGCTGTGGGTTAAACCACAGAGCCTAGGACTTGCCGATCAGAAGGTCGGCGGTTCGAATCCCTGTGACGGGGTGAGCTCCCTTTGCTCGGTCCCTGCTCCTGCCAACCTAGCAGTTTGAAAGCACATCAAAGTGCAAGTAGATAAATAGGTACCACTCCAGCGGGAAGGTAAACGG